GTACTAATGTGTAACAAGTTTCACTGTAGTTTAGGCAATTTAAATAGCTGTAATAACAGACACCTAGTTTAGTTTATAGATAGTGAAAAGGCATCGATCGACGAACGCGTTGTGCATACGATCAGGAGAATAATAATAGATTATCTACAGATTATATAGATAGATCTATTATTATTCACTCCTGATACGATTACTAGCGCCTCTGACTAACTACTACGTAGCCACGCGGACTGGGTCGTCGCCGGTGTGTTTATGGCAGCGTGGTGGGGGGGGGGGCGTGGCGCCTGTGCCAACGAAACATTCCTATTATTACGCGCGTCGGTAAGCGAAGCACGTCAACACAGTGCAAGTGTCGGGCAGTAACCATCAATGCGAAAACGCCTGACACACATCTACTCGCGGCGAAGGAGGGCAATGTGTTAGCGTGAGCACGCCGACAGACGCGAGTTAGTTCAGACTTCTGTGCGACAGCTCGGTGTGATCACACGTCTAACGGAGCTGCACACGTTTTACGAGGAACCTGAACGGGATAAGTAAGCAGACAACACATGTACGCGCCACAAGCCTACCCTTACGTGTTCGCACGTACTACACGTGCCCGCTGAAGATTATGACAACACAATACAGAAATTGGTCGCTAAACTAAAAGTAATAAGCGCGTTGAGTTACAGACAACGACAGCACATTGGGGACGATATGCGTACAAGTTACAGCTGATTATAATTCCACGTTACAGACGATATCCTTACACGATGCAGACGTTATACGTGGATTTGTGTAAGCGGTCGACATGCACTTACCACACGGAAATGAACCACGGCGTGATGTACACGCCGTAGCTTACTAGGCTTCGTGCATTCGCTCAGAGCTGATCCAAACTCCGGTATCTTTGTCTTCGGGTAGAGAATTAGTGTGAAGTCACTCTGGCGACGTCTTGCCTGTTCAGTTTTGTCCTCCTCTTGTGCCATCACGTAAGGCTAGTACGAGAGTAAGGAAATGTAATGTAAGGTTCAAAACACATCACACCGACGCCGACGATAGCCGTTATAACGATGTCCGTACAGGCCAGGAAAGCCGTATTAATTATGTGCATACGTGCACGCGAATTGCTATCAACGATGTCTATACATACGCGGAAAGTCCATATTAATGACGTCTATCCCTATAAATCATAGCTGTTTTAACAATGCCCACGCATGGTGGAAAAGTCGACTTAACGATGTTCTAACGTGTACCGTGCTAACGTTCAATACATGGAGATGATGGCCGTTCTAACGATATCCATACCGCAATAGAAGGTATATTGTTCTAAATAGAGGCACCACACGCTCTATATTAAAGGACAACAATACCTGGGCAACCACGTTCTTTGTATTCACGCATAAACTTCGCTCGCCTTTGTTCACGGTCGATACCAGCCCGTTCACGTAGAAGCCCGTGTGAGCGCCGACCATCAATGCACAGCAATGGTGTTTTATTGTGCATCAGCCTAAGCTAATCATGGCTCATATTGACGTCACCAGTCAAGACAAATATGGAGCCGATCGCACTCGTGTGTGTGTGCGTGCGTGCATGCGTGCATGCGCGCGCGTGTGTGTGTGTGTGTGTGTGTGTGTGTGTGTGTGTGTGTGTGTGTTTGTGCAGGAGCGGGGGGGGATGCTGAACTGGGCGATACATACCATTGAGTCGCATTATGAAAATATGTTGATGATTTACCTGGGTTTCAGTCAACGGATTGTTCATCATGAGGTAATTAAGTACATCTATAATGTATACTCTTTGGCAATATATTCGAGATATGTCCGATGGACTCTTCTGGTCACGTTATTAACAGAATGTCCACCTTAATCAAATCACTTATGTGTATCTCGAAAATCCTGTTACCGTGCATTATAGTTGTATCTTGCGCGTTTCGTTAACTACTACTGACCACGACTAGGGCCAGAACCGCCATCACCGTATTATGGCGGCAGTTATGATGTTTTGGTGAGTGAGGAAAAGTTTTTCTGCGCCGACAAACATCGTTGTTTCCTGTTCACCATTTCCTGATATTTTTGTGGTATGTATGTATTTTTTCAATCCTTGATGACTCATTGACTAACGACTTTCCATTTTTTAATGCTTTTATTGCACTTCGTCTAGTTCCCTATTCGTTGAACTCTCGAGTCCAAAATAATTCACGGATCCGCCCGTGTTATATGATATCAAGAGTCCATAATAAAATACCTAAAATAATAAAGATAAAGATAACTTCTAACATAATAAAGATAAACATAATAATGAACATATAAACATATATAATAAACATAAACACATAAACATATATAATAAACATAAACACATAAACATATATAAACATATAAAAAACATATAAACATGTAAACATAAAGATAACATAAAAACATATATAAAAATATATATAAACATATAAACATATAATAAGCATAATAAAGATAATTTCTATTATGGATTCTTGATGCTATACGGATTAGGTGATATTATTACGGATCTGCTCGACGCTCAAGTTTAATATCAGCAGTCTAGTCGGGGTGACAGGCAAACGCTAACAAACAAATTCAAACACAAATCACGTGGTAGGTAAATCGGTTACCGTACTCATATGGATGTCTCAATATTGATATGCAGTTACACCCGCGCCAACGTTCAAACAGTTGTAAATGACATAAACATAAGACGCATGCTAATTAAACTGGCTTGCTGATATAATTCTCAAAGGTAATCAATCATCACATTATATATCTTGATTATATGCGAATAGAACGCACATTCTCGACAGTTATGGTAGTATATAGTAACCATTGTCAAGTCAAGGTCAAGTTAGGTCAATTTATCCATTCGTCCGTTTGTCCGTCCGACCGTCTATCCATCCATCTATCCTTGGATTGTATCTCGTTATACCACTTTACACGTTTACGTGTCGTGACTGATACTTTCAAATGGTGTGGCGTAATAAATCTGAATACGGATGTGGACAACGGCAGTTTATAGTTACTACACAAATAATTTGAAAACAGGTTGCAACTTCTTAGTCGATTGCAACTGCAACAACAATCCGTTGATGGTGATTAGTAGTGATTAGGTGGTGGTGATCCGCCACCATTAGTGATCCACAATTAGTGGTTATCCCCTCACCAGTGTTTACGGAGTTTTCCGGGACGAGGAATCTAATGCATTCGGTTACGCTGGAATAAAATGGTATATATCGTTCGTCCCTAAAATTATTTTTAATAATTATTATTATTAGATTATTGTTAAATTGTCTTATTTCTATTTGACCAACGGGGGTTATAGTTATCCGAGCAGGGACGCGAGTAGATTGTAGCAACGCAAAGAACGATTACAATCGCTTCGTTCTGTTTTAACTTATTTCGTTCCTCCATCTCGCTTGTTTCAGAAATCGTAAGGACTGCACGCTAATAACGCTAATAACGCTATAATATGTAACGCTGTTATGCTAAATATGTATGCTAACATCTTGGAGACTGTAGTTCGCTAAAATAATATAGAGATACGCAGGTTACGTAACCGCCTGTACATTCGCAGTTTACACATGCGTGCTCATATGGACCAACGCATGCACACATGCACGCACGCACGCACACACACACACACACACACACACACACACACACACACACACACACACACACACACACACACTGCCATAGTCCACACATATATCTTTCGCTATTTTATAGTGTCACACATGCTACGTATAAGGAATGTGACCTATATGTACAAAATGGTTAGGTACTTGGACTGGTAAATTTTTACGTCTCCTCCACCATAATAATAAGTTCACAGGTATTACACACAGACACTGTCGAGTATGCCTCGTAGCAAGTTAATTAGCGTAGTACGTTTACATTTGTATAGAGTGCGATGTTTCTCTTGGCGTTAAAGCAGTGGGTAGCTTTATCAAACGAATTGTTTGATCTTTTGTGACACAAGATAGATATGTGACGTTCTATAAATATTCGTTTTGCAATAAAAGGCATTGTCTGCACCAAATAATATATACTCCTGGCTTATTTTATATATGGATACCAAAGCGTTATCGTCTTTATACAAATCGACCACGAATCCTTATATGACATCTCTCTCACCATAATATGCACACGTCGTGTGTAATTTCTCGCACATTTGGGTGTTTCACAGTAAAGTATGAATATGTATAGCAAAGGATCGGAGCATATAATACTTCAGCCATAGGGCCGTTTTGTCCAATACTCTAGTCCCTACAGACATCACTACATTGTAGTTATAGTGAGCGCTGGATCGGAAACAAAAGTCAGAAAGATTAAGAGCTGTGCAAAATAAGAGCTGGCCGATTCGTGCTCATACTTTATAAACGTGGAAGAGCTACCCCCGACTCAAAAGAGATGTGGCGTGATACGGCGACCATTTTATACATTTGACCGGCCTAAGCATTAGGGCCTAGCGGCGGCCGGCCTAGCGACGGGATCGACGACACCTATATCACAGCATGCTATAGCCGCAACGAGTGAACGTTATTGTTATTAGTCAGTTGCTCTCCACTTTCCGTTGCCCCGCCTGCGGCCGTATAGCCTTAACAATTAGGTTACATGAACCAGCGTGAAAATCGTCACGCGTCCAGTGAGGTTTAGGTGACACGTGCCTGCAATACGAACGCAGACGTGAATTCGCTCTCGATCGCTGCCATTTCTAACCCAGATTTTACTTTCTGTCCCTGATTTTGACGTCGTGGCGAAATGGAAGACATCTGGTGACCCACATCGACTGCAGCCATCCGCCTCACGTACGCACAAATTATCATAATTTCATGCAGAAATGTACGCGGTCTCGGACTGTCACTCGAATTGCTAGCCTGCCCACGACAGATCATCGCGGGCGTGCGTAACCGCGGCGCGGGGTTGACGTGAACGATCAGGGTACGTGTCCAGTGAACCGGACCAGTGTGGTGCTGGTGCGCGGTCAGCTGATGCTGCGTGAGATATAAGAGTTTGACGCTTTCACAATGTCCGGTACATTTGCTTATACACCGCGGTGGACACGGGCACAGAGGTACGACAACAAACGGTAAGTTTGAGAGCGCAGGTAACTCTTAGGATATTCGGTAGGAGCGATGGGTTTATTGTTTAACCAATGAATTTGTTTTTTTCGATTTTATTCAGCTTAAAAATTTAATTGGTTAAACAGTTTGTTACATATTATCGTTTCACTGTTCCTGGCTTGAATTAGGAACCAATATAGACACGCTACCAGGACGACTAATTTTAATTCTCCACAATAGGCGATACCTTGCAAAGCACTTATCAAATCACTATATGCGTAATCTTCTATTCTGCAACGTGAAGAATTATTCATCGTTATTGCGATCGATCTAGTATCATTTCTTTTAATTATTTCTTTATAGTCGGACATGAAGATTACACTACTAGTGTTGCTGGGCTGCGTTAGCTATGCCCTAGGCTGGGGTGGTGGCATTGGCGGCGGTATTGGAGGCATTGGTGGCAGCTACGGCGGCAGTATCGGAGGCATTGGTGGCAGCTACGGCGGCAGTATCGGAGGCATTGGCTGTGCAGCTACGGCCGCGCCAAGTATCGGAGGCATTGGCGGCGGCTACGGAGGCGGTCTCGGTGGTATCGGAGGTGGTTATCGCCAAACAACCAGCTACGGCGGAGGTCTAGGTGGTCTTGGAGGCGGCTATGGAGGTGGTCTAGGTGGTCTCGGAGGCGGTTATCGCCAAACAACCAGCTACGGAGGCGGTCTCGGAGGCGGCTTTGGCGGCGGTGTCAGCGGTGGCTATGGAGGTGGCATAAGAGGTGGCTATGGAGGTGGTATCGGTGGTATCGGAGGTGGTATCGGTGGTATCGGAGGTGGCTATGGAGGTGGTATCGGAGGTGGTATCGGTGGTATCAGAGGTGGTTATGGAGGTGGTATCGGAGGTGGTATCGGCGGTATCGGAGGTGGCTATGGAGGTGGTATCGGCGGTGGTATCGGTGGTATCAGAGGTGGTTATGGAGGTGGTATCGGAGGTGGTATCGGTGGTATCGGAGGTGGCTATGGAGGTGGTATCGGAGGTGGTATCGGAGGTGGTATCAGAGGTGGCTATGGAGGTGGTATCGGAGGTGGTATCGGAGGTGGTATCGGAGGTGGCTACGGAGGTCTCGGTGGCATTCGCGGCGGCCGCGGTGGCTACGGTGGCGGTGTTGGTGGTGTCCGTCGCGTTAGCGGAGTCGGCCTTGGTGGCCGTCGCGTTAGCGGAGTCGGCCTTGGTGGCCGCCGCGTTGGAGGGTTTGGTCGCCAGACCGTCATTGGTCGCCGAGGAATCAGCAGCGGCTTCGGCGGCGCACGCCAGGGAGCAGCCATCGACGTCAACAACTTTGGAAACATCGACTCGCAGGCGTTTGGCATCGCACCATTCGCTGGCCAGTACACGAACATCGAGACGTTTAACTTCGACGGTGCCAGACAGCAGGCCGCCCAGCTCGCCCCGCAGATTAACGCGCAGTCGACCGAGGAGATCGTCATTGGCAAGCGCTACCGTTCAGGCAACGCCCGTCAGTATGAGCAGAGCTCAGCGCAGAGAACCGGCTCCGGCAACGGCGAGGCCGGTATTCAGTTGAGCGCGACCAGGGGCGCCACCCAGGACGCGACGCAGCAGTTCAAGCAGCATGCGACTGGCGATGGCAAGAACGAGGAGGGTGCCTCGTACGGTTACGAACGACCCGGCACTAGTGTCCAGTACCAGCCCGTCCGTCTCGACTCCCTGCCCGTGCACGCAGGACCAGCCAGCCAGGTGCCCCAGCCCCAGCAGAAGGCTCACACATACTAGACGTGTATTGCACATCCGTTTCAATCACTGTTTCGCGTCCAAGTGTCGCTTTACCTTTTCGGCGTGCGCGTGTGTAGCTCATGTATAGGTCTCTAAACAGCTAATCAAACATTACCATGTTATACCAAAGTGACCATGTTGTATACATGTAGTACTCCCCTGTGTTTCACTCAGCAGAACAATTTTCCCAGTTCACTTCTTAATTTTGAGGAAAACGACTGTAAGGCTATGCTCATACAAGTTACGGTATGGTTGCGCCTGTTAAACTAGATAATCAAGTAGCAATGATATCAGTTCTCAATATTTCTGCCACACTGGAACGAATAAGAATTAACCGGACTTTGCCATGCGTGCACATATTGCTGGTGGCATAGTCCGAGGTACAAGGAACTGTTGGTACCTCTTGTCCAGCACGTGTTTATAAGCGATTGTGACTTTGATAAGGCCATCATATGTATATATAAACCATCATTTTATCTAATAATATTGTTTTTTTATTACAATAAATGAATCTTTGTTGAAACAATCAAGCTGATCTCTCCTTATGCTCATTATTATACTTGCTATACACAGCACACGTAGCAATTGGAAACCGAGAAAGCTGAACACTCTCATAATTTACACATTACCCATGTACTATCATATATGACAAGACCTCAGTGTGCCAAGAACTTAACGATATATCCACGTATTATACACATATGCATATATAGTATACATTGATATCAGAAGTAGATAATAGGGAAATCTCCTATTAGAGAATAGAATTCCCTATTATCTACTTCTGATTGATATCATACACGGGGTTACATATTATAGATGGAGCATGTGATATATACGAATAAAAACATCGATCTATAGAATAAATGGCATGTGAATATGTATAAACACCTACACACTTACACACGCACGCACTCACATAAACATGTACGTGTAAATGTGTGTATATATATATAAACATATATGCATATAAAGTATACATTATTTATATGGGTCCTTTAACGTCAATTTTAACTAGTTTAAACCTAACACTAAACTAAATTGAAGATAAGAACATTCCCGAGCTCATTGCTGTGTGCTGCCCATATTCTTCAAATGTATATAATATGCTAGATGACACTGCATTCACTGAGTGCCCCTAGCTGCCTCAGTCAATATTGGCGCCTTGCTTTGTACAATGGCATTTCTCCTCTCACCCAGTAGTTCTACCTGTAGATAGAAAGAATGAAAAAATAACACGAAATAACAGCAATAATTATGCTCCATAAGTAAAAGAAAAATCTTAAAATAAAGTAATTTAGCAAGATTTAGTAAATTCCTATAGATTATGATGTGTATATTTTTGCATTTAAAAAGTGGCATATCGAATATATTTTAGCTGAACTGAATTTGGGCTAATGAAATTTGTTTTGGCTCTTCCCATGCATAGTTATTTTGATGAGCACGACTCCTATGATGACCCCGATTGAGAGTCAATTGAATAAATCCGTGAACCACGTCAAAATCAAAATGTGATATCTGAAAAACGATCCTTGATGTTATATTGATATGTCCTTATTGTAGAATGTATGGCAAATCAATCAGAGTGCACCAAATAACACCTACAAGCTTCAACAACCTCATTGTTATACTCATAGATACTATAATAATATTATGGTTATTATAACCCAATTATTATATTTATAGCTACTAAAATATGGCAACATTATAATATACCCCATTGATTCATACATATAATGTACATGTTTTAGTTGCTGGAAATGTTTTTGGTCTGATGATAATGCTGGTCCTGTAATAATATAATTTTATAGTACTGAATGTCCTGTACAAATAAAATCTATTAGTGAACCCTGTGTATACCAGACAGAGAAATCGTATTGATATGCAGGTTAACTAGGAACTTAGCATTTTTAAATAAACTTATTACCCACCTGCACTGTCTCACCCGGTTTCACATCCACAGGTAGATAGGCAAAGGCTATACTCTGTCCCACTTGATAACCATAGCTGCCTGATGTTGTGTTCCCAACAACCTACCATTATGTCCAACATTACAACATTAGTCAGCTACACTACACAGGTTGTATTTTTAGTTGGTAAGGTCCACTAAATGTGTTAACGACATACGGTACCAATGGAGATGTTTGTAACAATTCCAGTTCCATGATCAGCTACAATATACCCTGTCATGCAGTATTAAGGAAAAGTGCCTTTTTGTTCGTTTTGCTTTGTTGAATATTAAAGTGCACCTTCAATAGATGTGTGCGATCAACATGTGACTACTATAAAATCTATATTCATTATTGATTAATATACATTGTTATTTAGCCAGATAGTTTCATTCCCTTCTGGATCTGGACCATTTTCTTCCGTGTCAACGGTCATAAACACCAGATGGCGTTGCAATCCCTCTTCCTTAATCTTGGTTACTGCTTCTTTGCCAATGAAGTCAGCTTTCTGAAATAGTGCAATTACTGAATGATAAATCATGCTGTTAATAATTGCATTACCTTATGATGCAAGAAAATACAATGGCCACAACACCATGTCAAGTACATAATTCTCAAAAATTAGTAATAATAACGAACGTATCTATAGATTTGATATCATAATATATATTTAGTTCTGTGCAAAAATAGCCAAGTAGCCTCATGTAGTAACATAATGACCTTGTTCAATTTGATGAAACGCTCCAGGCCTGCTTCTAGAGGGTTAGTATCAAGGTTCATCTGAAAGACACAGGCCAGGTTCCATCATTTACCTCCACTTCCATATTGCAAATTTCCACAACATTTAATTGTACTCACCTCTATAAACACATACATACTGATGGCTGCAATATTCATCGATAGGGTGCACATTATTTTAGCTATATAACTCCTATTTAAAGATCGTAGTTATAGTTCAAAACATTATATTTATATCATAGGCTTAGACCATAATATTTATATCAAAAGAAAAAATAAGTTTAAAGAAATAAAAATATAAATAAAGAAATTACAGAACAATAACTGGGATGCTGATGACATTTATCTGTGCCCATTGTACCTCTGCACCCCAACCACGAAATCCCTTCTCGATTCGCATGGAGTTCAATGCATAAGTGCCAAAGTCGATAATGCTGTGTTTGGCACCAGCAGCCAGCAGGGCCTCGTAGAGTTTGAGCGTGTCCTCGCGGCTGTGGTACAACTCCCAGCCAAGTTCACCTGGAAACCACAACCCAACGAGGGGGGGCCATAAAAGCCATTAAACACCAGTGTGTGACAGTGTATGTGTCAAACCTGAAGCAAAAAAAAACTACAAACGTGACATATACTGCAGCAGCAGCATTCGCTGTACGATGATTGTGAGCTTCGTGTTCTTAGTACAACGCTGGTTGGCCAGATGGCACATGTTCCCTGACCACAGGCAGGGTATTCATTTCCTGGCCCTGGCCAAATATAGCACGTGAACGCTACATAAACAGAGGATCGAGTGAGCAAGGATGAATGCGTACAAGAAAGTAGCTAAACGTGATATTCAGCCATTGCTGGGAGGGTGTGTGCCCACAGCAGGGCTGGCAAAGTGGGATATAGTCAGTATAGCCTTGAAGTTGTTTGCACGTGTGACCTTCACTTTTCCTATGACATCAAGCAACCTCTGCTGCATCACTGCAGACTATAGCATCACATTACATACAGGCCGGGTAGAAATTAGTTTGAAATTTTACAGACCAGCCGGCGGGTCTGTAGGTACGGGATTTTACAGGCCCGCCAGGCAAATTACCAGCCCGCATCATTCTCAGAATACTGTTTTGTCATGCTGGGGGTGGATTTTCTACCGGGCCCGTCGGGCTTCCTAGTATTATAAATGTCAGGCCAGAGCCTTAAAATACGGGCATCGGGCCCGCGGGCCACTTATTATTTCGACCCATGACATATATAATCAGGGACATGTTTATTATTAATTACTGCTGAACATTCATGTTTGTTGCCAAGTTATTCGTTATTTCTCTTAGTGCTAATTATTAACTACACCTACGAAAATCTTCTTAGGCTTTAAAGTCAGCGTGTAATTGCTTTGCGATTGTATTGGAGATGGGACAATTTCTATAAACGGCATCGCATTAATTGCGAAAAGATATCGAGCCATGATGCATGGAAATTTTGATTCAATGATTCAATGATTCAGGAATTACATGTGAGGTAGGCACGATCTATAGACTGAGCCCTATACCTGTGTAGGAAATCCTTATGGCTGTTACCGGAATGCCGGCCACAGACATCCTCCTGTTACACATGAATGGAAATCCTTCATGTGACAAGTCCTCATCTGTGAGCTCGGCGAGAACCTCTCGGGATCTCGGGCCGGCAACGCCGAGGCAGGCCTGGGCGTCGGTCGTGTTCTCGATGGTGACGTCATAACCTCCCTCGCGTCGCTTCTCTAGCATCCACCTGCCGGGAATAAGTGAGCTTGTAATTACGGTCTGCGTATGCGCGAACCTGGCCGCGAATTCTTCCGGGTTAATCTCATAACCTCATGAATATGGTTAGGTCATTTGTGAAAAACATTTCGTATTTAGACCGCACATGCAATACACATACGCATGCATCTGTGTCATTGTAATGCTACAGTCTTCGCGTGTGCACGTACACGTGCGTGCGTGCGTGCATGTGCACGTATACAAGTGCGCGCGTGCGTGTGCACGTACGCAGAATACATGTACATACACGTACTGAACCGACAGTGCACTCCGCACTCGAGATTTCACCGATTTTTGTCACAAATAACCCGGTGACCTGTGACGTCACACAACCCCTTGGCTAACTACGAACTCGCCTATTAGCACAGTCTGATTACTGCATGGTTTATGACACACAGTCTCCAGGGCCGTAGCCTGTGGGGGGAGGGGGGGCTAAGGGGAGCAGCTGCCCCCTCAAAATGTAAAAAAAGTTGAGCTAATAATCGTAAATCATTTTGACGTGATTATCCGTGAAAGCTTTGTCTCACACCCACCTCTGCCACACTATATGGACGTCGATCAATTAAGAGCTGCGCCCGTTGCTCATCATTACACAGTTGAGTCATTAAATGTTGCCCCCCCCCCTTAGGAATTTGCTCAGCCTACGGCCCTGACTCTCGAACGCACTTCACACAGATGCGCGTCACTTTCAAAACTGATATTTGTCCCGATGGAGCAAAAACGTTTTATATCTCATCAACATTGAGTGCATTGTTGGTTTTGGCAACAATTCAGGACTTGCTCACAAACACCTTTAGATCAATGTTTGCACTTTTTTGCTGTCTATTAAAAAAGACCTTATGTGTGCACATGATTTGGTAATCTTCCAAGAAATTATTATTCGAATATATTCATGCTCCCATGCATGTATAAAATGACGGATGCACTCACGCATGCACACATACAAACGTACATATACAAATATAGGCATGCAAGCATTCTAATCACGGACATGGACAATTATAATTAACTGCCAATGGGCTCTAACCTCAGATCATGCAGTTCTGATCCAGAGCCTGTTATGCACAGGAAATCGTCAGAGGCAAACCTAGTGACTGTCAATTCTGCGTAGACACGTCCTTTAGGGGTGAGCATATGCGTGATTGTAGTTGAACCAACCTAAACGATAATGTTAAAGTTTATTCAAGTATCAAGTTTATTCAAGGACATGGGTATGTGTAGGACTTTAATCCTGCCACTATCACAAAGTTATAAATACATAAACTATCAAGTTATTATCATCTAGCAAATGCATATATATATAGAGAGAGAATACCAGTGTGCAGCAATATTATCAAGAGCTAATAAACACCTAGAGTGTACAACGGAAAAACGGGAAAATTGTGCTATTTCACGGCAATATTATTCTATTAATTTTTATAGGCTTTTTATTTATTTTTCTAGGCTGTGATCGAGTCTATGTGAATAATTTTATAGTGTTGCATTAAGCAGAATTATTTGCTCTCCAAAACAAGACCAACCGCATGTCAATACGATACTCCTAGGCTGAGATATTGGCTCGTAAACTTTCCCTCCCACAGGCCTCGCGGCGCCTCGCATCCACAATATTCACTATCTTTCTCGCTTTTTGCGGGTTAGGAAAGTCGCTTCGTGAGAGTTTGTTTTTTTCCGCGATAACTTTATGAATGAACGGCTTTTAGGTTATCATCGGTGACTTTCGGTGGCATCGTCTATGCCCTTATCTCCCATTATCTTTCCTAGCACGGCTAATGCCCGTCATGATGGAGCCGGCAATGTTTTCTAAATTAAGTCTCTACAACGCAGCTCAGTTACTATATGGTGTAGTAAGAGTACCAAATTTGGGCATGTGACATCAATTATCAGCGCTCCAAGCGGCGACCGAAAACGATAGCCAGACCCGCAAAAGGCGAGAAGGATAGTGAATATTGTGGATGCGAGGCGGCGTGAGGCCTGTGGGAGGCATGATTACGCTCCAATATCTCGGCCTAGGAGTATAGTATAGAGACAAGCAGTGGGTCTTATTTTAGAGAGAAAAGAATGCTGCTTAACGCAATACCATGAACTTAGTCTAGAACCGCATACAAAGTAGAATAATATTGCCGTGAAATAGCACTATTTCCCCGTTTTCCCGTTGTACACTCTAGGTATTTATTAGCTCTTGATATTATCAGGAGTATAGATAAAAGGATAAAGTTCCCTATTATCTACTACTGATATTATCTAATATTAGTGCCTTGACTCGCCTTTGGGAGGAAGTTTGCACTTATGTAGATAAGAAACTTGGCCGCATCTCTTCCAGTAACTCGGAGCTTTCCAAACGGTGTGAGGTCAATAATTCCTACACTGTTCAGTACTCCCTCTACCTCGCGGCAGACTGGCTTAAACCAGTTTGGTCTCCGATAGCTGGGAGCATAACCTGCCGTATCGCCAGGAAGGGCAAACCAGTGTGGCTGCTCCCATCCTAAAGGGCAGTACAAGTTTGTTATATTATACAAATATATACAACATACACGCATTCCCGCACGCACGCATGCACGCACACATATATAGTGCTGAACATTCTCATTCATTCATTGTGGTAAATTTCACAGAAATATTCACGTTCCAATATTTGATCAAGTCCTAATAAAAGTACAAAAATGGGTGTGTTTTCCTAATGTAAACTTACACTAGAGAAATAAAATATAACAGCAGATAATTTAATAATACTGCAATTGATAACTGCATAATATTGCAGACTAATGAAATAATATTCAAACAAATAACAGCTGTTTTCACCAATAATACCGTAATATTTTGTCCAATCATGCACTAATTTGTACTTGTCTAAACACGGCAATACTATGTTGGCATCATTAGTGTGATTACGCACCGGCATGAAAGCCCATCTCTGCTCCCCTTTTGATCATAGCATCGTAGGCCCCACTGGTTCGAGCGGTTGGCCGCCCTGCCCACCGCTCCTCCTTTGGGTACCCTACTAGGTTGTTAAGACCATACGATTCCCGTGCCTTGTCGAACAGGTAGTTACTGCAAGGCCAAACACACGTAAGTGTCACTAAATATATTTGGTGGGGGATGACGCATTCATAGATCTGTATCCTTCACGCCTGAGGTCAGATGGTAGGATATTATTATATTATGCATTAGCAGTCACCTCTACAGAATGAACACCTAAAAAGGACACACTTGGCATTTCCTGTTAATGACAGTGAAACGGTGAAAACCAACTCTGTAGAATGGCCACATGACTATATGAGACTTCAGCTGTGCCTTAAGCCTGCCGCACACGGTGTGTCTTGTGCTGCGCCATCGGACACGCGTGCCTGATGGCGCAGCACAAGACACACCGTGTGCGCGTGCAAACACAGCGATTTCTTGCGTGTGGAAAATATCACACGTGTTTGATATTTTCTGCCACGTGTGGCAGATTCCACACCGTGTGCGGAGTCGCTGTGTCATATTGCACACCGGCTCTATGTAACCGACCAATAGCAGCAGGTCAAGCGAGTCACGTGATCTTAACTTGCGGTTGCAGCGCGGTTGCACTGCGGTACACGCACGTACACGCAGATCACGCACGTACACGCGGGTATACGCACGTACACGCGGGTACACGCACGTGCACGCGGGTACACGCACGTACACGCGGGTACACGCACGTACATCGCCGTACACCACTGTACACGCGTACCGCGGATACACGCACGTACACGGCACGTTACAGCGCCCAGCGTAGCACGCGATACACGACGTAACACGCACGTAGCACGCACGTACACGCACGTAACACGCATGTACACGAACGTAGGCACGCGGGTACCGGCGATACACGACACGTACACGCCACGTACACGCGGATACGACGCACGTACACGCACGGTACAGCTGGATACACGCACAGGCTACCACTCAGGTAGCCCCAACGTGCTACCGGTACACCCGCCCACGTACCGTACACGCCGTTAGCATACACGGAGATACGGCACCAGGGCTACACGTAAACCGGGTACACAGCGGAGATAAACCGCAGCAACGTACCGGCGGTACACCACGCCAGGATGACTCACTGATGGGCATGCGGTCGTAAGCCCGGCGTGGTGTGCGTGTATCCGTGTGTACGTGGCGTGTACGGTGCGTGTACGGCCGCGTGATCGTGTGGCTTTAATGCGTGTTACCCGCCGTGTACGTGCGTGTATCTTCGTGTACTGAGTGTGACCCGCATTCGTGCGTGTATCTCGCTGTACGCCGCGTGTACGTGCGTGTATCTGTGTGTACGTGCGGGACTGCGTGTACGTGCTGTACCGCGTGTACGTGCGGTATATCCGTGTATCCGTGGTGTACGTGCGTGTACCGCTGTGCACGTGCGGTACACGCGCTGTATCTGTGGTCGTGCGTGTATGCGGTGCGTGACGTGCTGTACCCCGCGTGTACATGCGGTATCGTGTGTACGTCGTGTACCCGGTGTACGTGGGCGTGTATCCGCGGTGTACCGCGCGTGTACGTGCGTGTATCGCGTGTACGGCCGCGTGTACGTGCGTGTACGTTGCGTGTATCCGCGGTGTACCCGCGTGTACGTGCGTGTATGCTGTGTGTGTACGTGGCGTGTATCGCGCGTGCGTGTTACGTGGCGTGTATCGCGTGTACGTGGCGTGTATCCGCGTGTACCCGCGTGTACGTCGTGTACGATGCGTGTACGTGGCGTGGTACGTGCGTGTACGTGCGTGTACGTGCGTGTATCCGCGTGTACGTGCGTGTACGTGCGTGTACGTGCGTGTATCCGCGTGTACCCGCGTGTACGTGCGTGTACGTGCGTGTACGTGCGTGTACCTGCGTGTACGTGCGTGTACGCCGCGTGTAACGTGCGTGTACCGCGCGTGCACGTGCGTGTACGCCGCGTGTACGTGCGTATACCCGCGTGTACGTGCGTGATCTGCGTGTACAGTGCGTGTAGCGCGCAGTGCAACCGCGCTGCAACCGCAAGTTAAGATCACGTGACTCGCTTGACCTGCTGCTATTGGTCGGTTACATAGAGCCGGTGTGCAATATACAGCAGCGACTCGCACACGCGGTGGAATCTGCCACACCGTGCAGAAAATATCAAACAGTGTGATATTTCCACACGCCAAGAAAATCGCTGTGTTTTGCACGCGGCAGCACGTGTGTCTTGTGCTGCGCCATCAGGCACGCGTGTCCGATGGCGCAGCACAAGACACACCGTGTGCGGCAGGCTTTACGCTGAGAGGGTCTATATGTCCCCCAGGGTACTGCCGGAACGTACCCTGGGTACGGTCCGGTATACCGGAACGTACCCTGGTACCAGAGCATATAAATCAACGTGATTTATATGCTCTGCTGGTACTATCTAATATGCCGGACCGTACCCCGCCTACTCCACTAACGAGTCTAGGAAGTCGCCTAGCTACGCCTACTCCGGCCCTAACCATAACCCTAACTCTAACCCTAACCCTAACCCTACCCCTAACCATATCAGATACTTACCAGGGTACGTTCCTGTATACCGGACCGTAACCAGGGTACGTTCCGGCAGTACCCTGGGGGACATATAGACCCTATGAGCGTTACGCACACTGAGCAACCTTATATACAGGTTTGGTATTATACGTGATTGTGGGGAGTATTCGAAGCACAGGGTGGGTGACTATACTTAAGTTTTGCAACTCCTACGTGCACTAGTATAAACAATAGTATGATTTAACTGCACTTGATGAGTGGATGTCCGCAACAGTTTCCAACAGTAGGTCTATCTAATGGTATCATCCACATGCTCATCTGCAGGTTTGTTTTTACATGAACACTGATCATAATAACAAGAACGGAATACGGAATACTAATAACAATAACGGAACGGAATAACAAGAACGGAATAAGGAAAACCCAGCAACACGCATGATCTCTATTTCCTAACCTGAACACTCGCTGTTTACCTTTTATGTAAAAAAGAATCGCTGCAGGACGTACGCACCGAGTGTTAATTCACCCACTGCTACGTGAGGTTACTTACACAGCCTTTTACTTTACAGTGTAGCTAACTTTACAGTTCTTACAGCGTCAACCAGCTTGGGGAATGGCGGTTTGGGTCACATTCGATGAGATCATAGCTAGGCTCTCCATTCATGATCCAGTCTGCCAGAAACTTCCCAGCACCACCTGCATGTACTATGCCATACCTGCGACAAACAGTTAAACTTGTGTTAGCAGCCGTCCCACCCCTAGAATGAACAACTGTCTGTAAATGACGCTTTGGGTATTTTCCTTGAGTGACCCTTATATACGGGTTCGACTGTATTGAGCTTTAAATAGAACTAATTGCATTATTATGCCAGGATTTAGAAAAAAAAACACAGTAAGTGAATTTGTGAATATCTATATTTGTACCCAAAGCCAGTAGCCTCCCAGTAATTCGGTAAATCCAGATATGGCCCGATTAAGGGTAGATTTTCAGGCGAGTAAGTGATCGGACCGGAGATGACGTTCTTGATCTCAGCATTTTGTAAACAAGGGAACATATCCATGGCAGCATTCACCTCTCTACTAATGCGATCGACATCCGGTTCGAACAGTTCCATGCCAAAACCTAACGAAATAGAGACATAAATATTAGAATACATGGCAGAATCCATTCACACAAGGTCATCAGATTAAAATAATATGGTTTTGGTACACAAATTCTACTATTTTAAGTTTTAGCCTGCATGGTGCTTAAATTAAACTTTAACTGTGATTTTCCGCCATCAATTTTGCTATTCAGATTTAACTCTTCCTTAACAACAAAGGTTCCTTTGTGAATAGGAGGATGACAATGTTTCAGATAGTTGCGAATAACTCTAGGCGATTGTATCTTCACTATATATATATATATATTTCCATGGTTTATCAGTGAGATATTCAATGGAAAGCATAACTTGATATATGATCATCGATTATGAATACCTTTTGGAACACAGTTTGTCACCCAGTCATCACACATCCTCATTTTATCCGGAGCCTCATACGGACCAAACAAGAGACCTTCCTTCTCCTGGCGTAGGTAGTATGACCCATCGAGATCTCTGTAAGGAACATTTGCATACAGGTACCTAAACATAGATACAGCTACATACAGACATGCATACATGCAACCACACTTGTATGCATGTACATGCCCTCAAATAATCACACCTCCTCTGCAATAACTATTTACTACTTTTATCGCTTTACATCTTGCAATATATGCGACTGATTTCAGTATAAATTGTGATAAATAATTGTTGCTGACACTGTAATATACGAGTCAAATATAGTAAACAGAAACCCAGTTTCACACCTCACAACAGGGATTTCACTCTTGAGTTGCTTGACCTCTGATATAGGTTGAGTCACCAAATACTGGTGGTGTATTGGTACTAAGGGTATGTCAATACCCGCCAGCTTCCCAAGTTCTCGAGCCCAAAAACCTAAAATATTAGACAATCTACCTACACTGTATGATGAAAATAAAAAACACATTCTCTAACACAGTGTGCCATAAACTATAATCATGAGAGCTATAGACTTTTCTATACAACAACAATACCACGATTCCTAATTGTTCTTACTTTCAAATTCAATTACAAAAATCTATTTATTGTTTCATGTATTAACCAATAGCTCTGCCAATTACTCTATCAATTACATAATACAACAAATTACTATAAGTATAAGTAATTATGCATCTCATGATCCGAGACCACCAATTAAATTACCACTAGCTAGCTTATATCGGATAGAGTATCTGCATACCACATGCGTTAATGACACGCTGCGCACGGATGCTCCCATGTGGTGTCTGCACCTCCCAGCTTCCGTCCGGTCTTGACTTTAACGCATTAACTGGTGCTGGCATCAATATCTCTGCACCGTACTTGCGTGCACCGATTGCTAGGGCATGTGTCAAGGAGTATGGATCAATGTGCCCATCGTCAGGTGTGAAGAGCCCACCGAGTACCTGCATGGGAAAGCGCGTCTATTCATTCACTTGCTACGTACAGTAACTATGTCTACAACCTTTCCTTTCTGCTTACCTATCTGACTGTGTGTGCGTGTGCGTGTGTGCATGTACGTACACAGTGCTGGAGCAAAGTAGACATGCAAGAGAAATGTCTTCTGTAAGAGAACACATGAAGAGACGGAGGATGTTTAACATTGCCAGTACTGAGACATGAACTAGATGCTTCTGCATGAAAGCACAGCACATGCTACCTCATGTTACACTCCTCGTTTCACACCGCTTCTATAGAAATACTCGACATATTTACAATGTCACTCTAAACGGCAGTTCATGGTATGCTAGTATACCTGATCGTTCTCTATGTGGGCCAAACAGGGGGCATTCTCACATTTACCTAACATGAGACTTTAATATACATAGTTGTAGTTGTGTCTATTATTATTGTGTAGGTGTGCTGGTATGTCTAGAAAGGGAACACAGAGGCAACACTTTCACTAATCTAGCCTGGAGTTATGATAAACAACTAAATGTGATGGTCACCTTGTCAGTATTGATGATTGGGACTAGTTCCTTCACTTGCTCTGTGTTCACTAGGTATTGCTCAGCCTTGTGCCATCCCTGCCGCTGCATCTGATAACGAAACTCGTCCATTCTTTCTGGAGTCGCAGCCAGCCTGACACTGCCTGGGGTGTGGAGCCCCACCGCCTGCACATGACACAGGTGATCAGTGACAAACAGATGGGTTAGACTGCGAGACTCCATTATTTTTTGCAGATTTAGCTAGGAATGCATTTAACCAGCTTGTGAATTGTGCAAAATGAGATAAAGTATACATCCCTTTGCTTAAAACCACAATACACACAGTTACGTGAATGATCGTACATTTTAAGATTTGTCCCTATAGAGTGTGAGTGGACTGAGTACGTTGGGTCTAGTTACTACAAACGCAATACAATTGTCATCACAATGACTTATTTGGCTGTGAAAAATCCCTAACATCATATAACGCCATTCTAAGAATTATAACATTAGTAGTTGGTTATCAAGCAGGCCAGTGTTAACCAGATGATTCCGGATAGAAAAGCAAACATCACAGTGTCTGCATGTCAATGTCCTGCAGCAACTACGTGCAAACAGTGACTGCAAACAGCAGTTATCACATAGCAAGTATCAATAAGACCTTCACCAACACCCTTGTCAGTTTCCACAGCAAATCTGCATAACAACAGATGCACTTTTATACAGATATGTGGATATCTAGACATAATATACAGATGATTGTTTATCCACAAGTGACCATGTGGCTATAACACGTGGCTAAACGGTAAACAAGGGTATAGACCTTGGTACAAAGATCAATACGACTATTTAATTTTTTTATTACTATACCTGTCCAGTTTCCTCTTCTAGTTTCCCATACAATTTCAGACTGTAATAGTGAATGTTTTTTAGGTTGATTCCAGCATGATAGAAAGTGGTTAGGCCAGCCTATAGCAAAACGAAAATACCTTCATGAATTACAGTCCATATATGGTATAAATATAATTGCAATCAGCAAAAGTGGAACTACGTCAGGGTGGCAACACAATCGTAGGGTGTCATGTCAGCGGCCAAAAATAACGATTTCAAAACTCGGTTTTTTATGATAAACGTGAATGCATGATTATAGAAATTTGTAGGTATATATGCCTACTATTATTTATGAATGTACTATCATAATATATCCTAAAATTCTAGGGTGTAATATACGTATCCCTTTCAACACTAAATTCTTAACAGAAATAATGTGATTGATGTTTTCCTGCAGTGTAATTTGCTCAATTAATTTGTTAATACGTTCTATGTCTAATTACGAATCAGTGCAGTTGCATACGGCATGCCATGTGGAGCCGGCTGTAAGCTCAGACTTCTCTAGTAGCACCACATCCTTCATGCCAGCCTTGGCCAGATGGTAAGCGACACTCGCACCAACGCAGCCTCCACCAATGATAACCGTGTCCGCTGAATCTCTCCATGACTTATTCAGTGGTTTTGTTGGCAGTTCTGAAGAGCTATAGTGTGAGACAGACATAAGCATGAAGATGCAGTCATACACAAGCAGGCAGGTCTGCGGCATGGCGCAAGACAATATCGATGAAGCCCTCTATTCCCACAAATGTTGACAAAAAAATTAGTATCACTAGCACTTAAAACCTATGTGCAAATAAAGGGCTTTTTCAACACCAGCTCAAAGCACATCTTGAATGTGTTGTTTCATCATATATTTGCTGTTGTTGATAATTGCATTTGCACGCACGCACGCACGCACGCACGCACGCACGCACGCACGCACAAATATATAATATCATGGTATATATATCCCTATTATATATATATATATGCACAATGTATAGTGCAAATATAGTACATTGCCACTACTAGACAAATACTGAGCTACCAATTCTGTTCATCGATTGCTTTTCATGTTCTCTTCAAATAGTGGCCAGGGCTGACCTACTAGGGAGAGTGAGTGTGAGCGAGAGAGAGAGATTGAGAAAGAGAAAGAAAGAGAGAGATAGAGACCGAGAGAGCGAGAGAGGGGGAGAGAGGGAGCGAGAGGGGCGAGACGAGAGAGAGAGAGAGAGAGAGAGAGAGAAAGAGAAAGAAAGAGAGAGACAACGAGTGAGAGTGAGTGTGAGCGAGCGAGAGAGCGAGGGAGAGAGAGCGCGCGAGAAAGAGAGAGAGGCAGAGAGAGAGAGAGAAAGGGAGAGCGAGTGTGTAAGAGAGAAAAAGAGAGAGAGAGAGAGAGAGAGAGAGAGAAGGAGAAAGAAAGAGCGAGACAACGAGAGAGAGTGAGTGTGAGCGAGCGAGAGAGAAAGAGGGAGAGAGAGCGAGTGAATGGAAGAGAGAGAGAAAAAGAGAGAGAGAGAGAGAGAAAGAAAGAGAAAGAGAGAGAAAAAGAAAGAAAGAGAGAGTCAACGAGGTAGAGTAAGTGTGAGCGAGCGAGAGAGAGAGAGAGGGAAAGAGAGAGAGAGAGAGAGAGAGAGAGAGAGAGAGAGAAAGGGAAAGAAAGAGCGAGACAACGAGGAAGAGTGAGTGTGAGCGAGCGAGAGAAAGAGAGGGAGAGAGAGCGTGAAGGGAAGAAAGAGCAAGAGAGAGAGAGAGAGAAAGAGAAAGAAAGAGAGAGACAACGAGGGAGAGTGAGTGCGAGCGAGAGAGAGAAAGAGAGAGAGAGAGAGAGAGGGAGAGAAAGCGAGAGCGAGAGCGAGAGCGAGAGAGAGAGAGAAAGAGAGAGAAAGAGAGAGAAAGAGAAAGAAAGAGAGAGACAACGAGAGAGAGTGAGTGTGAGCGAGCAAGAGAGAGTGAGGGAGAGAGAGCGCGAAGGCAAGAAAGAGAGAGAGAGAGAAAAAAAGAGACAACGAGGGAGAGTGAGTGTGAGCGAGCGAGAGAGAGAGAGGGAGAGAGAGAGGGAGAGAACGAGAGAGAGCGAGAGAGAGAGAGAGAGAGAGAGAGAGAGAGAAAGAGAAAGAAAGGGAGAGACGATGAAGAAGAGTGAGTGTGAGCGAGAGAGAGAGAGAGAGAAGGGGGGGAGAGAGCGCGAGGGGAAGAGAGAGAGAGAGAGAGCGCGAGAGGAAGAGAGAGCGATTTTGTTGTCTATGCCTATCAAATTACCAATGGCTATACATGTGCACGTTGACCTATGAGTATTTGGCAGATATAGCATATGTTCTGTTGTGATGTGGCGATACACAGCCGTAGTAAAGCAAAATAAGAATATAGTGACAAGGAAAATTAGGGACGGAGGAACAGAGTGGACCCCCTCCCAGGCGCCCGTCACCCCTAACCGTCACCCCGTCACCCCTAAACAGTCATAAACATGCTCTGCGTGCACGCGACATCACTTCGCGCTACAGTCATGAAACAATCGGGGGGAGGGGGGAGGCGCTCATCAATCGACACCGCCGCTCTCCGCAACGCACGTTTATCGTACGTACGTGCTAGCCACAGGCACTTGAAGCATTTCAATAAAATATAATGCTAAATAAAGTCTTAATCAGTTAATGTTTCTAATTCTATACTCTTTTTTACCTATTATTGCCGACAATTTTCTGTAAATGCCGTCCAAATGCTCATGTGCAACAAACGCTGGCGGCGGCCATTGCTCGATCACGCTGCACACTGGCACTTAACTATATATTTCTCCCTTCGTCGTTGTACCGCCTACACTAATATTATTTAGATTCTAACCCGTTGACTTCGGTGTGCGCGTATCAGGGCCGCGACGTAATTTTGTTGGCTCCTCCTACCGAAGTGCATGTCGGGATAGTGAGCTCCTCATTTATCCACAATACACTTCACTGGGTCTAGGGTCTGAACGCATACACAGTCTCTTTAAATAGCAAAAGCAACCTCAGTTATCTCACCCATCTATAGTATAGATTGCTGGCTACATCAACTTTCCAACACTAGATGGGAGACCGACTTTGTACCTAAAATCTAATATACTACCACTAGATACAACATTGCTGCTGTCAATTGGCAGACACTCTGACAAAAGATGAACACTGGTCCACAGAAAATATACCTGACAATATGCTAATAGAAAAAAAATCAGGGAAGAGCTAGTAACCCTTTTTATAGCTTTACTGGTGTAGCCCCTTTACACCTGCTGCAGGAACATAATACATACATGTATACAGGTATGCATATCAAGAGTAGATAAATAACAGTGTTATTTATCTACTCTTGATGCATATGCATACAGGTCAGAGGTAGATAATAGGGAATCTCTATTATCTACTTCTGATACAGGTACATATATGCTGTGGGAGGTTGTAGTTGCTTGTAGCAGAAGCAAATGGACTACACCGGTAGAGCTAGTCTTTTCAAAGATTTACGTAACACCACCACAAATAATGTTGCCTCTTTTCATCATTCGGTATCAAAGCATAATGGCTAGCTAACTGCTCTCTAAACAAACACAGTCTATACGCTTTAAACAGCCTTGCAATTATGTAACGTATGGCAACTTGCCTATGGGGGAAAATTATCATTATTATAGCAACGAGACAGTAATCTCTTATGACATGGCCACTTACCAAGAAATGAATCTAGGCAAGTACAAGCCGAGTATCACAGACCTATTACAAGTACAGTATAATGCCCCATGTTATAGAATTTGGCTGACAATTCACTGACATCAATCGCTTGCAAGACTACCGAGAAAACATTCAATGGCAACATTATCAGACCTGCCAAGGCTGTTCAACCAGCTTGCTGGAGGTTCAGTGAGATTTTGCTAAAGAATGGATCTTTTTGGGAATATAATGCTGGAGGTTCAGAATATTTTCAAACACGACCAATTTCTGAATATTTGACTTTTCCACTACATATATTCTGTTAGCATATGCTAACAGAATATATGTAGTGCAAAAGCCAAATGCAAAATATGATGCAAAAAACTGCAATAAAATACAAAAAATGCAATAAAACAAAACTGCAATAAATGGCATAAAAATGCAAACCAAAATAAGCGCAAAAGCTTTCGAAGAAAAGAAAAGAAAATTAAATTTTAAGGCATAAAAACTTTAATTATCAAGGGTAATCCTTAACTGTTGATGATTTTTTTATTTTGCGTGAATGCGTGAGAACGCCTAGGGCATGCGGGAGTCCGTGAGAATGAGTCCAGATGCGTGAGTCTCCCGCGAAATGCGTACGTGAGACTTGGTAGGTCTGCATCATAGATCTCCTAGAGAAAAAAGATGTAGCCAACCAGCTTATTTTTTGCAACCCTGCATGACCAACCCTGTAAGACACACCTAATCTTGGCTGCTGGTGACTTCAAAAAGTGATGCACATCAGATTGAGGCAGTTCTGCACGACTTTTCAAACGCCATTGATATAGTTAGTCATTTCATAGATATATACACAACACATGTGCTGTGTATATCTATGGTCATTCATAAAGGCTTGTATCCAAACGGGAGTACTATGGCATCTAGCTGTCCTCAATGCATTGTACCTTTCCCTTTCCTGTATTACATCAACAACCTAACCATTAACCCAAGATCACAACTTCACAGTCCAACACTGACTATCGCTGACAATTGCCAAATATACAAAGCAGAAGCTTAGGCTTGCAAGAAGAACTGTAAAAAATGCAGTAGTAAATGAAATTCCTGCCCAGTAGGTGAGAGCTAGGCCATCAGTTTCACCAAGAAGAAGAGCAAAGGAACTAACGTATAAAGCTATACAAGTACACCATTCATAGGACGAACTTACTTATATGTCAGCAGAATACTGAATGTCTATCATATGGTTTCCTTTGACATTTTGACTTGGAACGCACAATTAAGTAGCAAACATTACCAAGAAGGTCAACAACATTACAGGCTATGGAATCGCTATTTTTTTATAGCAGCAAATAACAGATGCTTGAAGCTTTCACGAGGAGATTGATACTGCAGCAAATCACGTACGTCCTATCAAATTAACAGACATGCAGCTCTTAGCGATTCATCTTTACATGCATTGATTATTAGCAGCACAAACTACACGCACTAGAGTAAAATAATACTCTGCTCCTGCACAAAGTCAGCTCCTCTTACCAAGAGGAGTACTGCAAGGTCATGCGGCGCGGATGCAGGACATGATCAAGGACAACAGAACTGTAGAATTTATATATATTTTTAATTAAGAATGAAAAGTTAGTGTATCATGTGTGTGTACATTTCATTAAGTACAGGTTTTGCAACAGTATACAATACATCCATTTCTATTTATACGTAAAAATTAAAAGGTAGCTGCTGTATTGAGGTCAACTAATATTTTTAGATGCATATATATTTTCAATGACACATGCAGGCACTTGGAGCGTTTCAATAAAATATAATGCTAAATAAATACGAAATCTATTTACTACCAAAGTCTTAATGTTTCTCTAGGCCTACTCTCTTTCGCTGCTAGCTGCTGCACACTGACACACAAATATAGTGTGTGCAGCAGCTAGAGTGCGGCAGCTAGGCAGCGTGTGTTGCAGATGAGCATTTGGACGGCATGCATTTACAAGAAATTGTCGGCAATAATAGGTGAAAGAGAGTAGGCCTAGAGAAACATTAAACTTTGGTAGTAAATAGATTTCGTATTTATTTAGCATTATATTTTATTGAAACGCTCCAAGTGCCTGTGTTCAGTGACATGCAGATGGATGAAAAGCATGAAGACTTTGCCAAGTTTACCTTCGCTTGCTGTTGTTAGTGGGAAACTCTACCGACTGACAACTTCCACCATTCAGAAGCCGTAGTTCACTGGAAACTTTCCTCAGTACTGTCCTCGACTCGATAACTCTGCTTAGCCGCATACTTCAACTTTGCTCCAGCGTTTGTGCACCTTTCAACAACAACATCACTAACATAAATAAAACGCACTCGTGTAAAACCACGCTATATGATATATCATTACCATGCTGTCTAAAGTCTAAGTCAATCACTATGTCAGAAAAATGGGTGTCACTGTGAGTAATGGTGTTGCTTATTGTGATTGAAATATCTACAGAGTTGGGATTATCGCGAAGACACAGATCGTGTCACAGTAGTAGTATAGTATATCGATGCCTATGCAAAAGCATGAAGCAGCCAGCCCATAAAACCGAATACCAACAATTTATCGGAGTAAAAGTGTACACACAGCTCAACGGGGTCGGGCGTTACTACTACGGGCCTATAATAATATAATATAGGGCTACAGATAATACCGAAACAGCGAGCGCACAACAAATTCACTGATAGCGAACTAGAATGAACCAGTCAAAGCCACTCAAAGCTGGTATGCACACAAATAGATTACGAACAGTAGCAAGTGGAATGAAGAATTATCGACGAGAAATCAGCCCAACGTTGAGGTGGTGGCAATGAAAATAAAACTCTAAAACTTGATACCAATCCAAGGCAACGGATTGTGTTGATTATAGCATGCACGCCATAGAAATGCCTTATTCTAACTGGTCACCACTTCTCGTTGTTTGCGGTCTCGCCGACCACAGTGCGAACTGCTCTCCCCAAAATAGACTTCTTGCGCCCGGTGATGAGATAAAAGCCAACCAGTCAACCAACCAGCCAACCAAGCTGGATCGTCACGCGGCATCTTGTAATCAGCGTCCAGTTCGACGCTAAAACCGTAGGCATATATAGATCTTCAGTTTCCAGCGCTAATTAATTTGATAGTGGTACCACGGAGTCGTAAAGTTCTGAGTCCTTTTCATTTGACAAGTGATCGCACTAAAACCAGGAGCAATGCCGGTAAGCGTTACACTTACACACATCGGACTAGATTTTTTTCAAATTACATACATATTATCAGAAGTAGGTAATATAGGCTATTAATGATAGAAGTAGATAATAGTAGATAATAATTCCCTATTGTCTACTTCTGATATTATGTACTTATGTATAGCACCCCGCTCCCGCTACAGCGAAGGGGCTTCCACACCGTTATAGCTATATCTTTATATATACTCGTGATATGTTTATTTTTACTTTTATATTTACTCGTGATATATTTGACGAGGGGGATAGTGATTGAAATAAGTGGCACAACAGTAACGCACAAAGGGTCGTTGTCGTATCAGGTACTACATATATAGCCTCGTCTACACGACGAAATTTAACTCGAGTTAAGTGTCTAAGTTAGCGTTAACTCGAGTTAGCTTAACCTCGCCAGTCGATCGAGGTTAAGCTAACTCGAGTTACCTTAACTCGAGTTAAGGCCCCGTATAGACGCTTAACTCGAGTTACGAATAATACACAACTCCACAATAGGCGGCAACACTAGTACGATGTACGTACACACGCACGCACGCACGCACGCACGTGTACTTGCACACGCACGCACACACTTATGCACGCACGTGTACGTGCACACGCACGCACACACTCATGCACGCACGTGTACGTGCACACGCACGCACGTCTACGTGCACATGCATGCACGCACGCACGCACGCACGCACGCACGTGTACCTGCACACACACACACGTACGCACGCACACATGCACACACGTTTACCTGCACACGCACACACGGACGCACGGACGCACGGACGCACGAACGTGTATCTGCACACGCGCGCACAGCAGCGGTGGTCACCAGGCGTGCAGGCCCACGCAGCTGCAGCGGGTGCGCAGCTAATAAGCACGTGGTAGCGTGCAACGACAACGGACGCACGCAGCTGCGCACGCATGGCACGCGCACGTGTAGAGTTGCAACATGCAAACCTGACCGCGGGAACGCACGTGGTACGTACACACGCAACGGAGCCCACGCACGCACTCCATCGCACGCCACGTGTACGTGCACACGCACGCAACCGCCACGCCCGCGCACGTCGTACGTGCACCATGCATGCACGCAACTCACCGCACGTGTACCCTGGCACAACCACCTACGCACGACGCAACGCAACGCAGCAGCGAGTGGCAGCACACGTGTACTGCACACGCACACAACCGCCCGCACGCACTAGGCGGGGCACGCTCGTCCGCCCCCGCGCGGGTGTTGGCAAACGTTGTACGGCTGCAACATCTCGGCGCGGCACACGACGGCACGCACGCAACTGCATGCAGCACAGCGTGTAAGTTCACACGGCACGCACGCCAGGCCACGCACGGAGCGTACACAACGCAATACACTGCATGCACCACGCGGTACGTGCAATGCACGCACGCACGGCATTCGACGACGTGTACCTGCACAACACCCGCACGTTTACGCACGCCACGCACACATCAACAACGGTACCTTTCACACGGCACAACACGCACGCACCACGCACGCACGCAGCATGCATGCACGCACTGTAAGCTGTACACGCACAGCAGCGCACGCACGTGTAGCGTACACACGCACGCAACGGCAGCGCACGCGCACGATGTACGTGCACACGCACCACACACTCAATGCACGCAAGCTGTACGTGCCACACGCAGACGCACCATGCGACGCTCTAGCGGACGACCAGCGCACCACGGCGACTTACGGCACGTCTACGTGGCACATGCACACCGCGCGCAACAACACGCACGCCACGCTTACAGGCCACGCACGTTTACGTGCACACACAAGGACGACGGACGTACGCACGCACACACGAGCACGGGTACTTGGCACACGACACGCAGCACGCGCAGCGCACGCGCGCAGCGTGTACCGTACACACGCACGCACGGGCACGCACGCACGCAGCGTATACGTGCACAAGCACACACGCACGCACGCACGCACGCACGCACGCACGCACGTATACGTGCACACGCACACACGCACGCACACACGCACGCATGCATAATAAATCGGTAGTAATCGCTATCGGGTGTTGTCGTGTAGACGCTACATAATCGCTAACTCGAGTTAACGCTTAACTCGAGTTAAATTTCGTCGTGTAGACGAGGCTTATGTACCCGAGGTAGTTTTAGGTTGTTTAGTATTAATACTATTATGTTTATATTTTTATATGAGGTATGTTTAGGGTTAGGGTTAGGGTTAGGGTACACTTCTGTAGTACAGGTCTGGTACACTTTGTGTATACATATATGTACCTCGGATACATATATGTACTACCTGATACGACAACGACCCCTTCAGAAACAGTAACGCACGAAGGCCCGAATGGTCGTTGTCGTATAAAGGCGTATAGAATATGTACCCGATGTAACTATTGCTGAGAGGGTCTATGTCCCCCAGGGTACTGCCGGAACGTACCCTGGTACTATCTAATAAGGCTGAGAGGGTCTATGTCCCCCGGGGTACTGCCGGAACGTACCCTGGTACTATCTAATATGCCGGACCGTACCTCGCCTACTCCACTAACGAGTCTAGGGACTCGCCTACGCGCCTATACTCCCTAACCCTAACCGTAACCGTAACCCTAACTCTAACCCTAACCATATCAGTTAGTTACCAGGGTACGTTCCGCTATACCGGACCGTACCAAGGGTACGTTCCGGCAGTAACCTGGGGGACATAGACCCTATGAGCGTAACTATTTGATATGGTTAGGGTTAGGGTTAGGGTTAGGATGTTAGGGTTAGGGTTAGGGTTAGGGCTAGGGAGTAGGCGTAGGCGACATACTCGGCGACACCTCGGGTAGGGCCTACTACATGTACGACAACGACCCCTTCAGCAACAGTAACTATATGATTTATTTAGATTACTGGGAAAGAGTTATATATTAGGTTACATATGACATATATAACATGTGTTAATTATAAGTTATATGTTATGTCAAGCAGTATACATAATTATAACAAGCTATACATATTATATAGGCTTTATATTGTCGGGAGTACAAAATAACATAAAGTTGGGTCAGCTAGGCTGTGGCAGATAGCCTGTGGCTCAGGACAACGGGTATAACGATCTGGCGAGAAGTAACCATCCTATTGTGTATTGGTTATTGTTTGTTGTTTGTTGGTTATTTAACCATATTCCTAGCGGTCATATATGTACGGTAACATATCCTAGTTGGCCTACTCCCATTTCGCCTACTCGATCCCATTTCGTCTACTCTCAATGGGAAATACCCTATTCCCATTTCGCCTTTCTGAGAGTAGATGAAATGGGAGTATTCCCATTTCATCTACTCTCAGAATGGGTAATACACACTGTAGTGCCATTTCGTCGTATATTGATATTACAGCAAATACCAGGAGCAATTATAGTGGGGATGCCACTCCGTCTAGTCTATGAATGTTAAATCAAAACCATATATTACATTTTATAAATGATTATTTAGTGGACAAACTGATGGTAGACAAAATGGGAATGGGGTGGATTTTATACTGGTGGACGACTTTGGAGTAGGCGATATGAGTGTTGAGTATATATGAGGGCGATATGTAGAGTAGACCGGATCGCGCAACTGAGTTTATTACACGAGTTGTTGCTGTGTGCACTGATTGTTTCATTCGCATTGTTTGCTTGGACGCATTGTAGTTTTTGTCAGTTCGTAGCTCGCATTTTTCAGCTCGCACATCCCCGAGATCCCCCAGCTGCGACTACGAGAGCGATTTTTTCAAATTTTCATGTTTTTCGCTGGTAATTTGTTTTGCGGGAGCGATTTCGAAGGTTTGAAGAGCGAATCGTGCATCGTTCGGGCCTAGATACAATAATGTAACCCAACAAGAGTAGGTTACAAACTTACAAGAGCAGGTAAGAGTAGACCTACTCTTGTTGGGTTACATTATTGTATCTACGCTCGGGCCGTGTATTTTTTACCCTGGTGTAAAGTGTAAACCAACTGGGAGTTTCGCTAGAGACGAAATGGGAATTCCGCCGTAGGCGAAATGGGAGTAGTAGTCTAGTTGCCAAATGTCGATTTGGACGTGAACCTTGCTTGCACTGCATGAGGTCTTTACAAAATGTTATTTGCATTTTTTACATCTCCAAGGTATACTGATCTCAAATCAGTCGGGTGCCATTTTGTCACCCTTGAGCATTTTGATAAATCCAAGATGGCGGCCAAGATGACTGCCAATAACGTATAATAGCCATATCTTGGCTTATATTTCATTTAGGACAATAATATTGGTGTCTAATCTAGGTTTGTGACGTCAGGAAAGCCGTTATAGTGACATCTATAAATTTATAGGAGCCTTTGTTTATATAGAAATTCAAAATGGCTGCTGAAAATGCATTATTGGTCATATATTGGCTTCTATCTTTCTTAGGACAATAATTTTGGTGTCTAATACTAGGTTTGTGATGTCAGTAAAGCCGTTAGTAACATCTATAAACTTATAGGAGCATTTGTTTATATAGAAATTCAAAATGGCCGCCAAAATGGCCGCTGAAAATGCATTATTGGTCATACTAGACCATGCCCGTTAGGTGGTGGTAAGAATCTGTACAGTACAGTAAGTACAGACAATAATTTTGGTGTCACTTTTTTGTCATTTTGGCTTTTTGACACAATGTACATTGTCTTTTTATAACAATGTACAGAAATTATGGTACTGCTGTGCGTTCCAAATGTTTATGCACATGGTATCAGACTTGTTTCAGACCATGGCTGAATGTTTTTTTCAAGTGTAACTCACAGGAAAATCTCATAACTGCTGGTCTGGAAAGAATTCAGAAGATTATTGAATTCAGATTGAGATCAGCAAATGTCGAGGTGATGATATCCATCTTGGTCTAGAACAGAGGTTTGGTGTTGACCCCAGCCTATCTATAGACTGCCACAAGAACTGTGTGTCTACTTACACATCTTCCCTACACATAGATCGGTATCGGAAAAAGTGTG